TAATAATGTTTTTGTCATCTACTCGCTGCTTGAGGGCTTTTTCTTCAATTAGCTCCCGGCTGTTGAGACGACCAAAATGGAAAGTTGCCATCTTAAACCAATAGACTATTGTTGTTGGTCTGTAGGCGAAAATTGGGGCATGCAGAGAAAAGATCTCATCATTTTATTAATCATTCATCTATTTACGAATCGAACGATTCAGCCCCGTTTTAAATCATACCATATTATCATTTTAATATGATTCTGTTATTTAACAGTATAATTTTATATAATACAATATGAATATTAAAAAGGGTGGCCCCAAAGCTGATACCACGTTTGATTGTACCGATGCCGTGAAGCGCAATTAGCAATGTTTGGCGCAAGATTTTGCTACCTTCTCAAACTCTCCTCAGTTCTCAACCCAACCGAACTTGGTACCTGCAAAACAGAGTTCTTCATTTTAACTTTAAACGTAAAAAATTCTTTTTCATAGAAATATTGCTTAAGCTAAGCCCTAAATTGATATGATAACACAATGGTTTTATTTCAGCGTTAAAATATAACAATTAACATTCTTGGATGCATCTTCCTGCCTCTATCAATTTGCATAGTAACATGATAATTTGATTGATTGATCTACCGTTGCTTTAATAGTTTTATAAGGGCGTAAAACTGAAAATGTATTCTAGAATGCCGTTCAGTTCGTCATGGTACATTCCGGTATGGTATAGACAAGAAGGCGCTGGATCTGAGACCTTAACCTCTATCAAAGAGGGTCAGAAGTCCATTGAAATTCAAGGTCTCGGCGACGGATGGCTTTTGGTCAACTTCGAAGCAAGAAGCCTCTGTCGAGTCAACTACGACGAAAGGAACTGGAAGCTCCTATACGAGCAGCTTATGATGGATCATACGGTGAGACGAACAAACTGGTATCTCAGTGATAGGAAGATCATAGGCTACTTTGATTTAACCCGATCAAACTTGATTATATTAATTTCCTCAATTTACTCAATTCACTCAGTTCAGCAAGGTGCTGAAACGCATTCTTAAAATATCTTACCAGTGTGTGCAATTTAATCGACACTAATTGTTGGCGAGTCAACTACTCTCTGTGCTTTATGCTTTACTTAAGGTGTTCTAAAATTTCTGTCAATTTCATGATCGAAGTCTGATCAGACATACGGTCGCATGGATCATTTTTGGATGATTGAAATTCGTTATGTCTGGGAAACTGTGCCGCGCTTGAAATGGGGGGGGGGTATTCGATTGGTACGTAGTACCAGGGCTAAAGTATGGGTGCAGATCTGATCCTAGGAACGAAAGCTCTTCACAAACTGCGGACTGCCTGAATGCAGCATACAAAGGAGTGGAAATAAGAAAGCGAAAGAATGGATATGAACGGATACAGGGGTCTACGATGTCATTGCAAGAGCGAAGGAGTTGAAATCGAAATGAGCTGACCAGCGCTGGTTTCAGGCAACGGCAAATGGCCTGAGGGTCGACCTCTTTGTCGACGGTAGGGTAAGCTGGAGAACTTTGTCGGTGCAACTTGAACAGAAAACGCAGGAGGCAGAAGGTGGCAAATTTGGGAGCAATTCATCGAGCAGTAGATCGAGAATGGCTGATTGTTGATGATGATATGTTTTATGAAAATTCATCATTTATGTCATAACTGAATCACTTAGCCCCGATGCTGCTTGTAGGCTAGGGATAAGGGAGCAGTGCCCTGAGACAACGATCTGCTTGTCTCGCATTTTCGATCATGTGCCATTATATAAGCATCAGCAGGATACATTCCGACTCATTGGCCGGCTGTTTCAAGTTATTCTTCGCTTTTTTGGCGTCTCTGGCCTTTCGATGAGCATTCACAGAAAATGTGGACCAAAGCAATCATAAAT